GGAGTAGGATCCAGCTCTGGATAATGGTCTCTGGAGTGAAACTTGTTGCTCTGAATTCTGGCCTCCTGCTTACTAAGCTCCTTAAACCCACGCTCAAACATTTTATGTCTCTAATTTTTCTCATCTGATAAAGATAACAAAACCTACCTTGTAGGGTTATTAAATAATTAAGTGATTACAGGTGAAATAAGGCATATAAAGTATATGAAACTGTCCCGGCACATAATAAAGTGTTCAGCGAATGTTATGATGGGAATAATAAACCTTATATGTGGCATTGATAAGTAATATGAGTACATAAGTAAGACTTAATCTACTCATGGACTAAAATCCTCCACAAGTAAAAAAATGTCTTTTCTAGGAATTCCCAGAAAGCCATGGTTTATTCATATTCTGTTAAATGATATCTAATCTATAAATATATAACAATGCAAATTGTTATATATATTACATAAATATGGAATTTAACAGAATATGATGTGTATAGATATCTTTCTGATATATATGCCATAACATTTGTGGAATAGTTGTGGACGCATTGAAAGTGTTCAGTGGCTTGTAATTTGAGGGGCAAGGGTTCGAGTACGAGAGGAAGGAGAAAAATGAGAATAGAACCCTTCTCTATTCTCTGTTTTCTTTTGTCTGTTCTTCCTCTACAGAGACGAGCTAAGGTCTGTCTACTCTGATTTATATCAATCCCATGTGTGTCATATAGAACTGTGCCCGATAGACTTTTTTAGAGTGGACATTTTGGAAGTTTCTCATCAGATCTTTAGTCTGGGGTAAGTGGACTTGAGCCTGCCATTTTGGGGTTAGAAGCTGAGCACAGCCATTTGAACTCCCCAAGGACTCGATTATCAACAGTATAAATAATAAGTAGGAAAATGATGAACAGAAATAAGAAATCTATAAAATGCTCCCTTGTTGTTTGAGGTTAGTTAAGTCAGTTCTATGCACATTCTTCTAGCATGCCTTTTGTTCCAGAGCAAACTGATGAGTGCATGAAGGAAGAAAATCAACCCCTGAAGGCAGATGCCTTCTGATTTGGGCTCCTAATTCTATAGCAAGTTTCCTTTATTATGCCTTTGCACGTGCATCTATTTACCTTTTGTGAGATGCTTTGTTTTAAATCAAGAATGTAGAATTTCTAATTCCAAATGAAATAACTACCCAAAACATTTATTTATCAGCTAAAGCATGTGTCATAATACAAGCATTTATTACTTAATAGCTATTTATTTAATCAGATATTCTGTAGGAATGTTTATCTTGAAAGGATCAAGAAGTTGTTTTGAGACTCACTGATCTCCCAGTTTCCTGAGGCTTATACTCAGATTGTTAAGGATTATTTCAGGACAAGTAAGACAAGAAGTGACTCAGTCCAAAAGATACTGATTGTTAAGAAATATACTTAGTCTTCCTCTGCAATAAATGTGTTTATTTGCATAGTACTGGACTCTCTCATCCTACATTTATCATTATTTACGGTGCATATCAAATCCAGGATTAATTTAACCCACTGCCATCCAGTCAATTCTGACTCATCGTGATCCTACTAGAGGGTCTCAAGGCTGAAATCTGTATGAGAGCAGAAAGATCTAATACTTTCATTTATGTTCTTATTTAGTGATATTTTCCTGTTTACAATTCAGACACATGGTTTTAGTCATGAAAGGAATGTAGAATACTCCTAGTGTGTGCAGAGGAGAAGACTTTTTCCCAAGCTTGAGTATTATATTACACCAAATGTGCTTTGTTAGATTTCTTTTGACTTTGTTGCCTTCTTTTATTTATTTTCTTATTCATTTCAGGGGATTCCAGGATTCGTTGGTAATATTGGTTCACCTGGTTACCCTGGCAGGCAGGTGCAGTAACTGAATTTGTACTTTTCCTTTTATGTCCCTCTTCAATAAAATATTGCATGTTTTGAATTTGAAAGCTAATGTTCAAATGAAAATTTGGTTTTAAAAAATAATGAATTAGCATAGCTAAACAATATAGAAATAACTATTATATATAATATGTAAACCCTTTCAGCAATTTCACACCAAGGAGTTGTACTGCAAAAGCAGGGTACAATATACAATATTCAATAGTGCCCTCAGAGTTGAAAGGCTCTGGGACCTAATAAGATGTTAAAATATTCCTACTGCTCATTTTACCACACTACATTGATGAAAATAAAATAATACTAAGAGTGGAAACTTTCCCTATTGAGCATTATTTTTAATTTTTTAAAATTTGTATTTATTTTTGAGCATTTTAAAAAAATAATACAGAACAACATCTGAAACAGTTGAAAATTCTACAGATACCACTACCAAATACCCTTATCTGAATTGAATTCAGGATTTATTATACAGTGAACCCTCGCCACTTCGCGCTT